GTTTTCACCTTTTAAACTTGAACTACTTTTTCAAATAACATTTTATTAAAAAAAAACATCAGGCCTCTTCTCCTCTTGAATATCCTCCTTGCTAAGGTTTTTTTTAATTTTTATTCCTTGTTGTGGTTGACTAGTTCAATTTCAGGTTTGCCTGTTTCCAGGACCCACTTTGTGTTACTTTGCACCATACTCATATTTACTCTACTGTATTTTTCAGTCTGTTACTAGGTATATTCTATCACTTGTTTCACTCTCACCTAAATTTCCACTTTTCAATCTTGAACTACTTTTTCCTATGACAGTGATTAAATTTAAAAAAACGTAGGCCCTCTTCTCCTTCTGAATGGCTTTATTGCCTATGTTTTTTTTTGAAAATATTTGCTCTTATGATCAACTAGTTAAAGATCACATTTGGCCTGTTTGGAGGACCCGGTTTGTGTCACTTTGCACCATACCTTGGAAAAACTGTGACATTGTCCAAAAAAGCGATAAACAACCAAAAAGTGAGCCTTGGCGTGGCTCCCCCCTTCAGAGTTATTGGGTAAACACCCCCTTGATCCCTTCAAGGCCTTCGTCGCAACATTGCCGGTAGCAGACCGGGTTAGGCTGGCAAAAAATCCGCCTCTCCCCGGCGAAACACAACCTAAGGGATCCCCGTGGGGGCTGACTGCAATGGGCCCTCCGGTAGCGTATCATAGCTTCTCAACTCTTGCCGTATGTCACGGCTGCATATGCGCATTTTCTCCCCACCATGAGCACCCGTACTCGAGTACAGTAGGCCTAGCGACACCCCCCCCAACTGCATGACTATCGTATGCGAATTACTGTACTGTACCGTACATACTCCGGTTTATTTTTCATCGTACCGTACAGTACCGGCACCCTATCCACTGGGATAATTGAATCTCGCGCACTACCTCGGTCGCCCAAAATTCTATCCTCAATACCGGTAGAGCAGAGTGGGATACCAGTATGTGTTGCCGCACACCGTTCCCTGGCCATTGACCGATACCGTGACGTACCCTAAATTAATCACTGTATGCCAGCCTCGTGCGACCTTCGATACCACCTGTCCCATCCCCATTGGGGGTTCCCACGGCTGTGCCCACCGCACTTCCGCGCGCAGAAACAAGTTGGTTGGTTTTTATGGGCCTCACGAAATCATGATTGATACAATGAGTGTCGTGTCTTGTCGATTTTTTTGTTGTTTTATGTGCCGGATCCGGTTGTAGGAGTCCCATCGATTTTAGGGCCTTAGGGCTGGATTATGCGCTTGTTTAACTTTGAAGATAGGACAGCCTTTTACCCAGAAGCGAAGGTTTGATGTAGGGATTGGTTGTCGCTTGGCTATTCCCCCTCCGTTAAGCATCAAGCAGTTAACAAGTTGTTGGCCAATGATATCAACCCCCACTCCCACCCCTACCACCCCCCTCATATCATAAGAGGGCACTTGGACGTGGCTTCTGAGGATGGGCCAAACAACTCTATTCGAGTACGAGTACAGTACCGGCATCTGTTGGTGGGCTCAAATTCGTACATTCAAATTTGGACCCTTAGCAGCTCCAACCGATAGAGTACTCACACCTGCATTCTAAAATGCACAGCTGCTGGACTCGTACCGTACTGTACTGTACTCGAGTACAGTACTCGCGCTCGTGGCATGCAGGGAAATTCTCTGGGGTCAGGAGGGTGTTGTCATCTTACTGTCTCACTTAAATTTAGACTATTCTGAGGCTTAGCGAGGCGTGCACCAAATGTCAACTGCCACATTTCCTATACGAGGGAGCTGGCTACAGGGTTAGGGTACCATATTGGTTACTTTTCTCGAGCCTCTTCCCCGCAAGGCGGCTAGTTTAAGACTCTCGGGTTGTGGAGAGCCAGCTGTTTATGCTCCCTTGAAGTCGAATAGCACGACCCGGAGCTAGACTACATCCCATAGCCACCTCAAAACTACACAATTATTCATCTCAGTATTCGAGGTTGGGTTCTCTCCTACTCGTCCCACGGTCCCATATGTCGCAGTATTGACTTGTTTCAACGCAAGACAAACGATCTTGAGCTACCCCTGTTGGCGAGACAGAGGCCACCTGTCCCATTTCAGATACGCTAGCGACACTTATTACTTTTCTACCCAACCTTCGAAAACGGTCCTACAGTGAGCTAAAACCTAGAGCACAGAATGGATCGGTAGGCTCCCCTTCTCTTTAATGTCTATGATTTCAAAAACAATGAGAACCCGCCTAATACCCTTCCTAGGGGAATTCAAGGCAATAATAGGGGCGACTTCAGCGCGAACTCCGGGGATTACAATGTTTTCGGTAGTAATAACAACAATAACGTAAACACGGGCTACCAGAACAACTTTACCAATAACGGGCAGGTATATCACCAGTATGTGCTTGGAGCGGGGGAAAGAGGTATTATCAGCTTTCACGGGAGATTTCTGGCAAAGATCTAATGCGCGATTAAAACTAGAACACGCATCCAGGCCTCACCGCATAATTCCCTATTGCAGAAACACCAAGTTCACCGGCCGTGAAGATCTCATCGAGTCGGTAACGAGGTTTTCTGAGCGTAACGGGCACAACCGGATCGCGCTTCACGGATTGGGCGGTTCTGGGTATGAATTTATGATCGCTATTTTAGGAGTTTACTAACATTGCTTAGAAAAACCCAGATTGCCCTCGAATACCTCTATCGGCACGCAAGCGAGAGTGATTGTAACATTTTCTGGGTGCACGGGAGTGGGCTACCAAAATTTTGTGAGGACTTTAGAGCTATTGCACAACACGTTCGAATTGCCCCGGCCGGCGCCGAGATAGATGAAGAGGCGTTCCTATTGAATATAAAGAGATGGTTTCAAGGTCCAGATAGTGGTTGTTGGATACTGGTTATTGACAATGCCGACAATGAGGAGGACTTTATTGGCAACAGCGGTCGCATCTCCAAATTCGTACCACAAGGACCTCGGGGGACCCTAATATTCACCACCAGATCACTCCGGGTTGCATCCTGGCAGGGTTGTGAAAGGATTGATATCGGAAAAATGGAGGAGGATGAAGCACAAGCATTATTTTCGAAGCTCTTGGGTAATTGTGACATTTCGAGAGATAAAGAAAAAGAGGCAATGACAATGATCCTAAATTCCATACATCATATCCCATTGGCTATCATAGGAGTGGCAGCGTTCATGACTGAAACGCAGACACCGCCGTCTACCTACTGGACCATTTTGCAGGGAAGCGACGAACAGGCGAAGAGACTTCTTTCAGAACCCTTTTGCGACATCCAACGGGAAGCCGATATGACCGAAAGTATCCTAGCCACGTACTTTATCACCTTTGACCGAGTTACAGTGCAGATGCCCCTAGCGGCGGAACTTTTGCGTTTAATTGCCTTCTTCGATCGCCAAAATATACCCGAAGAGTTATTGAACCAAAGTGGTTTGGATGGGATAGATGATCCAATTCAGTTTCGTCAGGCCATTGGAAAACTATTAGGATTTTCGCTAGTTACGACGGTCGCATGTGGGGACAAGACATTTTACGAGCTTCACCGATTAGTACAACTATCTTTGCAAGTGTACTTACCAACAGAAGAGTTGTGTCGATGGAGGTCCACTGCGCTGCGAGTGATTTCAAGGTTGTTCCCCCGGCATTGGACCACGTGGAGGGATGTTAGTTCTGCATACATTTCACATGTGCTTGTGACAACAAAACATTCAACGGATCCCATTGCCGAAGAGCTTTGTTTTCGCCTGGGACTGTACTTTTGGGATATGGGTTCCTACAATAACGCAGAAACTCAATTGCGTCGGTGCATTTCACTTCGGGAAGAGAGCAAAGACTATGACTGGGATGAGGAAGGTCCGAGTAGGGTTACATTTCTGGGCTTGATAACGATATATCAAGGAAAGGCAAAAGTGGCCGAGGACATTCTTCGGAGGTTATTAGAGGATATTGGGGGATCATTGAGCCCCAATGATCCGATCGTCCTGGACGCCATCAGGAACCTGGCTCTGGCGCTACGCGACCAAGGAAAGTACAATGAGTCAGAGGCGATGGTGCGGCGCGATCTGGAGGGGAATGAGAAGATTTATGGACTGGACCATCGAAATACCCTAATAAGTGTCAACAACCTGGCTACTGTACTGTGTTACCAAGGAAAGTACGGCGAAGCTGAGACGATGCACCGGCGCGAACTGCAGGGGTCCGAGAAGATTATTGGACCCGAGCATCCAGATAGCCTAACGAGTGTCGGAAACCTGGCTATGGTGCTGCAAGAACAAGGAAAGTACGACGAATCGGAGAAGACGTATCGGCGTGCAATGGAAGGGCACGAGAAGATTCTTGGACCAGACCACCCAAGCACCCTATCAAGTGTCAGCTACCTGGCTACGGTGCTGCGAGCCCAAGGAAAGTACGACGAATCGGAGAAGATGCAGCGGCGTGCAATGGAAGGGC